TTGCTGCCACGGCTTATCTGTGCTGGATTGTTGCCCAAGCTTGTCTGTGCCGGTTTGCTGCCAAGGACCTGTCTGTCTAATTAAATGCCGTAACTTATCTTTGGCTCGGCTGTGTTGGTGTGGGACGAGGGGGGTCAGAACAGGAAACCATAGGCAGAAGACCCTGTTCAAGGTCCTGGGAACAGGTGTGTCCTTACCCATCCTTCTAGTGAATTGAATATGACTAAAAAGAGTAGGAAGAGTATTGCAAATGAATGATCGGCTATGGAAAAAGTATTGGTTTTGTTTCTGGAATCATTGTCTGAGTTACCTAGATGATGGAGCCCTAGGATGCTATTTGCACTTCAGTAAGATTGTCAAAATCTCCCCATAGGTAAAGTATCATCAGCTTAAACAGAAAGGCTTCTGTCTATATATTAAAGTTCCGATTATGAAAAACAAACAAGATGATTTTGAAATATGTCAATAGTAATAAATAAAAACTGGTAGCAGTTTTGGGGATTATCGCCAGGATCAATATCATCATAATCATCTACTAAACCTACAGGCTGCCTTTCCCAGCAACTCTGAGCATTTACAGTTGTTAAAATATTTAAGAAAAAGATTAATATATTTTAAATTCAAATTCACAAAAATATAAGGATATTATTTAGAAGCAATTCAGTCCTGGGAGGCTTAAAGTCCTGCAGTGTTTCTAAATAAACATCTCTATTTTTCTAAAGCAATACCTCCCCATACCAGAACTCCATTTAGCCTGAAGGCCAGCTCAGTCTTTTTGTACTGCAGACAGCTTTGTAAGCTTTCAGTAAATAGTTTGAAAATAACATGAATAACCTGATGTTGTTACATCTGCATCTTCTTCTCTCAAGAGATTACTAAAATCCCATAATGTTCTAGCTGAACTTCCAGCTCTTCTTAAAACATCAATTTTCTAAGCCAAAGCAAATATGCAATCTCCCATCTTGGTTTTTAAATCATAGTAAGTTTTTAAGGAATGCAAAGGCTACAGACTTTCTAACATAGAAAGGGAATTCATTTTTTTTTCTCTTGCTAGCTTTGAGAATTTACATATTGACAATTCAGCAAATTAGGCAACTGCTATGTATTTCAGAGTTGTCCCAAAGTTTTGACCCCTTTTGCATGTTTTTCTTTCAGCTACCAGACTTGTTTGAAGACACATTTCTCATGTGTTACACTGCACAAAAGGAACATTGCATTTAGAACTAATATCTGGAACAGGTAATTCTTGTTTACTGACAATTGGGACCAGCATTTTCTATCACTAAATGACCTGGTTTAATTTTTCTTCACCTTTCCTTTGCCCAACTCCTCTGCCCTTTGGAAAGCTCACTCGAATACTGGGATAATCAGTAAGAAGTGAATTAATGTACTAATATTACATTCATTGGAAAGGAATGAATTACAACAGAATAAGCAGGCACACAATGGGGAATACTAAAGTAAGGTGTGGCTCCCAATCAGGGGTAAAATGCTACCGGTTCGGATTGGTTCACCCAAACTGGTAGTAAAAAAATGCTACCGGTTCAGGCGAATTTCCTGCTTTCTAGCTAATCTGAATCACGTGGCACAGTGGTCCCCCCCTCCCCCATTCTACTTAACTTTGCAAGCGTGCTCGGAAGCAGGCTCCGCCTACCCACCTAAATGTCATCATGACCGTTTTTGATGCTCTGCACATGTGCACGTTCACATTTGAGAACTGGTAGCGAAGGTAAGTAGATTTCACCCCTGCTCCCAACCCAAAGATGCAAATAGAGATCATGCAATTCTGGGGCTTACAGTTAGTTGCCAAGTGCCCAGATTGTAATCACATGATTGGAGGATGCTGGGATGACCGGAACTGAGGACTGAATCACCATCGTAATTTCAAAGGGTCATTGATTGAATGGATATAGGTAGAGGACTATCAATAATAATAATCAGGATTATCAGTGAACTCAGAGACTCTTCTGCCAAATGAACAAATATTCACTGGAATAGGGTAATTTCATCTTGCATAATTTAGAATACAATAACTCTTGATCTGGGCTGCATTCCAGTTAAAGAGATTTTTTTCTAAATAGCTTTTCTCTTCCCTTATCTATATAAAGTAAATAATTACATACCATTGGTGACACTCAGCGTTTTGATCTCCTAACTGCAGAGCCTCTTCGGCCTCTTCTTTGCCTGCAATATAACCCAATTTTTAAATTTTTTTCAAAGGGAGGTTTAACATTGTATAAAATTTTACATATTTATTGCCTAATGCTGGGGATCATATAAAATGCCTAAAATGTGTATGTTTTGCAGCATGCTACATTGGCAAATACTATCTACCGTATAAGGATTTAGCTATCATTATAGTTGTCAAAGCCACAAGAATCCTGCTGCTTTCTAGTGAAGTCAACTTCTTTGGTTTCAAACTTTACTTTTAACATGTATAAAACCATCAAGAGAAAATATTCAATGTAGGCAAAATTCAGCCTGCAGAAGAGCTGGGATTTTGATTTAAATACAATATATTCACAATTTCTTTTATGAGAAACAATTGGCCAATTAATGGAGACAGCATAAGAAGCAAAGGAAGCTGGATGGCTATGAGATAATCCTATGTTCAGAAATCTGAAAAGCTGCATACAGATTGGCCAAGAATCAGAAATGTGATACAATATATTTGAGCAAAGATAACTGTAGCATTATGAAGCAATAATGTTTTCTGCTTATCCAAACTCTTTTCAATCTACCTGTTTTTAATGTAATCTATTGTTTGTATAAGTACATGAGGACACTTCAGTAAACTCTTATTTCCAGATTAGGTGAATAACTGTCTGGTTGAATTTAACTGGTAAAAAAAATCCACTAAAGTTTCTTCTTACCATCACAAGCATATGATTTCTTCTCCTCTGTGTCTTCTGTGATTTCGTATATATCACTGTAAGCTCGGGCCAGACGCCAAAGGAAATCCTGCTTGTCACCATACTGTAGACAGAATGAATAACAGTTTATATCTTCGCATTTCATTTCTTCTAGGTTAAGGTAAATGGCACTTATACCATATAGCACATTGTTTCAGGGCTAAATTATAAATGCTTTGCGAAGATTTGTATTAAAAGGTAGACTTTGTAAAAATTAATATTTAAAAAAAAACTCTTCCACTTGTTTGAAGTACAAAAACATGCTGGTTTTTTTTTTACATCAAATAAAAGAAAAAAGTAGAATTATTCCAGTTTCTGAGTGAGGACTGGCTTTCTGGATAAGGAATGATGGCGGTTGAAACTCCCTGTTAGCAGTTCCGCCAATGAGAATAGCACTGTGGTGAAATTGCCAATCAGGAGCCAGGTTCTGGCTGATGAAAATCTCTCCAAAGAGAAGGAGAGAACTGTTCCTCATGAGGCAATCACAGGAATTTAGTTCCTTGTGGCCAAACACTAATTGAGCAGGTTGAGAGAGGAGGGAACTAAAAAGTGCCCTTAAGCTCTGTGAGGCCTTAATAGATATCTGACAAGCAGACGTCCTGCTTTCTTAAACATCTTAATAATTACTTTACAACCTAAGAGAAAAATTCCAAAAGGTAAATGGAAGATGAGACTCTCAAACAGTGCCTTATTATTGAAATTACGAATGGGGAAAATATTTACTGGATTTTGATTTAAAAACAAAAAGCTTAACAAGTTTGTGATCCAAGTAAGTTTTAAATGGATACAATTTAAAAAGAAAGTTTAAAAACACATTTTTAAAATGTGATTTAAAAAAAATGGAGAATTTTTCCCCTGACAAAATACAGTATATTTTAAAATAGCAAAATTAATTAGGCTAAAAGACCAGACCTCCCCCCACTTTGTGGGAATGCTAATTGTTTATTAAGGAAATAAATAATTTGTGCATTTTACAAAATGAAAAGATAAGGATAATGCAGATGTAATTGTACTTCAAAAAATTCCATAGAGAAAGAAAAGAAATTGAAGGTGAGATTCCTTCTCTACAAACAAATCTGGGATTATTATCCTAAGTAGTTAACTGTTTTTCTTGTTTATATTATAAAATGTAACATATAGCCTTTTTGGAAATATAAAATAAACTTGGATATATAACTTTGCAGAATAATGTTTAGTGGGGGAAAAGTCTGGTGACAGCTTTGCTATTGACATAGAGATGGTCAAATTTCACTTTTATCAGCCTTAGAATATTTACTATTAAATTATTTAATATACAAGAAACAAATTACTTCAATGTTCTTAAATTAAGCCAAGTCTCAGCCACACTGAGGATGCTAATTGCTTAAAAGAGCAATGGTTAGTTTGCATTTAGTTGCTTGTACTCATTATTGATATGGTTTAGGTAGGATTTGCACAACACCTGTATTCTTTGCTGCATGTTAATTCACACACATTCCCCTCCCCCCAGAATAAGCAATTCAGAGTTACCACAAGTTTATTGTTAAGCAGTAGTTGGAAACCGTCTCTCTTCTCCTGGTCAGTCCCTCTGTGTGAGTTATCGGCTTGGTGAAGTAACTGAGCAAGTTCTTCTTCTGAAGCAGTGTCCAAACTCAGTCCTGCTTCATCTTCATTGACAAGGTCCAAGGAATCTCTTCTTCCAGTTCTAACTGTTTCACAGCTGATTTCATCTTCTCCTTCATCACTCTCTTTATCAGATTCCCTATCATAATCCGATTCTGCATTGGCCGTAGTATAGCTTTAAAGGAAATACAATATTTATACTTCCGTGTCAAGCACACACAGAATTTAAAAATCAAGTAACCAATGACTAAATTCATATTCAACAATCAGCCAGAACGTTGGGAATTAACAGCGAGTCAGCAGTGTGTCCCACTCATTCTAACTGGCTTCTGCCACTGTAATAAACCATTAAACTAACAAGAAAGTAAATATTATTTGAATTTTGGTTCTTGGCTTTTTGTATTTCTTAAATAAAGATAGCAAACCAAGGCATGATCCTGATTTACGAATCATGGCATCTTAAAGAGCAAGTGAGTAACCCAGTTTGAAAATCCATTAAATTTTCAGATGTTGGCCCAAGCAGAAAGAGCCAATGGGCACAAAATATGTGGCATATATAAACATGAAACTGATTCAGTCATCAAGTCTTCTGGAAACTCATAGCTTACCCTGTATGGAAATGTAGCTAAAATGTCAAAGATAAACTTAAAGATATTAAGTACTAATTGTCTCAAAACCTGACTTGGAACTATTATTTCTGAGCTACTACATGCATAGCCAATTACCACTCTGATACCCACTGAATATATAACAAAAGATGTATCAGAAAAAAACTCCAAAAAAATTTGGGGTTCCTTCCTTAATATTAAATGTTTATATTAACATTAATCTTAAAAGATAGTCTGATGTAGGTTAGAGACAGTGAAAAAGAAACTGGGATTTGTAGTCCTGCCTTAAGCACAAAGCCGCTGGTATCTTTGGACTGATCACTCTCTCTTTCAGCCCTAGGAAGAAAGCAAGGGCAAGCCACTTCCACAAATGTTGATTGAGTCAATGAGGGGAAAACGCCTCCTCATAATTCTCATTTTCATCCTTACACTTGATATTTTGACAACAAATACAAACTGTCTACTGCTGCCTTTAGCTCCTGATCAGCCAAATTACATTTAACTATTCCTTGCTCTAAACTAAAAGTTCCTTACCCCCCTTCACTTTCTCCATCGTCTGTGTTGCCAGCTCCTGAACTGGCTGTGAAATATATTGAGCTGGATCCTGTGGAATCGCTTCTTTCTCTGGGATATATAAAACGCCTCCGCCGAATAACCTTTTGGCTTTCTTCTATATGGGACCTTCAAAGTTAGAGATTGGCATAAAAGACAATGAAACCTTATAATAATCGATAGTCCATTTCTTTTTGCCTACCAAAACAATTTTTGTTGTTCAGTTTAATACAATTCAAAATGAGTCAAACTCTTCATATACAGTATATATGAATATATATATATATATATGTATGTATGTATGTATGTATGTATGTATGTATGTATGTATGTA